AGTTAGTTTTTCAAAAGAGTTGTTCTTCTTCTTTTCTGGTTGTTCGCTAGAGCGGTGTTTTGGTCGCTCAAGCGGTCTTTGAGATCTCCCAATATTTTGCAAGTTTGCAAAAGTTCTGAGAGTAGGGTATCTTCGCTTAAGCAGTATTTCTTGCGCTTGAGCGGTCTTCTTCAGTCTGCAAAACTTTTGAAATGGTGTCATTATGCGCTCGAGTGGTGTTTTGGTCGCTGGAACGGTATTGCTTATTGTCTCTTTCGCTCAAATGATGTTTTGATCGCTCGAGCGGTCTACGTTTAATCAGTTCAGGAAAAGGAGTTTCAATCACTTTTTCATTCCCCTCTCTCTCTAAAACCTTCCAAACCCTAATTTCTTCTCTCTCTCTCTCTCTAGTTCTTGCCTTAAAACCCCAAATACACCCTTGCCTATTGATGTCTCTACCATAGCTTTTTGGAGAAAAAGGTAGAGCTCGTCAAAAGTTTCATTCTAATCGGAAAGGATCTTGTTTTTGGCTCCATCAAGTTTCAACCCTTCTTTTCTTCATATTTTAGACTTGAGGTGGGGATTTCTTCAACCTTTTGCATGATTCTTAGCTTAGTTATTTGCTCTTTGAAAAGTGTTTAGTGATTTGGGGGTTTTGGGTTATACCTAAGGTTTAAGGTTGAAAAGTAAAAGAGAGGTTTTTCAAATAAATTCTTGAAAAGGATTGTAGATGTGTATATATATTGTTGGATTGTATTGGAAATTCCTCTTTCAAATCTGATTTTGAAAATACATAAGGTTTTGTTGAAAAATCATTGATGTTGGTTTATAAAAGAAAATGAGATAGTGTTAGATTTTGAAAGGATATGGAAAAGGGTATCTGTTGATGATGAGAGTGGAGTTGGATATTTATTATCACTCTCATTTTGAAATTTTGAGATTTTATCTATTGTTGGAAAAATATTTTTTTGAGTAGAAATATCTGTTTTGGGGCTATCGGTGAAGGATAACGTTGATTGTTTTAGAAATTGCATAAGGATTAGGTTAAATTAAAACTAATTTCTCATACATCTTGCATCGAGCATTGCTTCATATTTGAACATTGAAAATGTATTGTTTTTGAGAAAAATGGATGTATACCTTGGTGAATTTAGTTAGGGGATGTGGTTGTGGTTTATATTATTGGCCTTTGTGTTCTTAGTGAAAGTCCAGAAACCTATGCGATTAGATGCCGATCCTTCCGGTTAGTACTCGTAAAATGGCTTTGGTAGTCTTGTATAGCCTACTGACAGACATGTACCTAGAGATTCCCAGTGTTTTGTATCTACTGCCTTGTTTTCTGATATAAAAATATATTTTCATGACACTACTACAAAAATAGATAAAGATCACACTTTTTTTGTGTGATGTATGTTATTTAAGCACACCTTTTAAGTTTTATTAAAGTGTGATCTTTGGGAGTGTGATTAAAATGGGCCATTTTTAATTAGACCTTTTAAGTGTGATTAATAACATTTAGATCACACTTTTTAAGTGTGATTAATAGTATTTAGATTACACATTTTAAGTGTGATTAAAAATATTTAGATCACACCTTTTAAGTGTGATTAATAACATTTATATTTGAAAAAAATATATATTACATTCACTAGCTTCTCATTTGCTCTTGTGGGGATTTGAACCATCAACCCTCTCACACCATAAACCTTATACACCACACTTTTTTCACTACACCTCTATAACACCATATGATTATATATGCAATATATATTATTTATATAGTACATAGACCCGTATTAATATAAAAGTATATATATAAAGATAATTATTTTTTATTGAACATAATTTATGTAAAAATAAATTATTTACTAGGAAAAAAAAGACCACTTTTGGCAACTAAACATAATTTTAGTCGCCAATTCTATACATTTGGCTACTAATTATTTTTTAGTCGTTAAAAAATTTAATTCTCAAGCTATAATTACTACTTTTGGTGACTAAACTTCTTTTTAGTCGCCAAAAAGCCTTACTTTTGGCTACTAAACATCTTTTTAGTCTCCCAATGCCTCAGTTTTGGCTACTAAATTTTTTTTAGTCGGTAAAAGCCTCACTTTTGGCGACCAAACGTCTTTTTAGTCACCCAATACCTCACTTTTGGCTACTATTTTTTTTAGTCGCCAAAAAGCCTTACTTTTGGCTACTAAAATTTTTTTAGTCGGTAAAAGCCATATATGGGAAACCAAATCGATTTTTAGTCGCCAAAACCTGTACTTTTGGCTACTAATGCTTTTTTAGTCGCCAAAACCTATACTTTCAGCGACCAAATGTGCTTTTTTAGTCGCCAAAGATGCTTTTTCTTATAGTGGAGTGTGATTAAATATATATATATATAGATATATATATATATATATATAATTACACTTATTTAAAAAGTGAGATTAAATAATCACACTTTAATTAGAATGTGTGGTTAAAAAATATCTATATAATCACACCTATTTAAAAAGTGTGATTAAAAAGTAGTAGTGTATATATAATCACACTTTAATTAGAATGTGTGAAGTAGTAGTGTATATATAATCACACTTTAATTAGAAGGCGTGATTAAAAAATATATAAATAATCACACTTTAATTAGAATGTGCGATTAAAAAAATATATATATAATCACACTTAATTGAAAAGTGACATAAAAAATGAATATTATCACACTCAATCAAATTAAGTGTGATTAAAATATCAATCTAATTTTTTTTTATCACACTTCCAATAAAAATGAGATTTTTTTTTTGTTTTTTGGTCAAAGTGTGATCTTTAACTATTTTTGTAGTAGTGTGAATTGAAATATATTAATAAAGGCATTGCATTATTTTGAGATAGAAAAGTATGATGTTTGACAAATGACTTATATGTGCATTCATCTTATAACTTTGCTAAATTTCATATATTGTGTTAAAGGATCTTTACTGAGTTTTAGCTCACCCTACATGGAAAACAACTTTCAAGTGCTGATGATGTGCCTCCACCGAGGATATAGCTTGGGAGGACTTGGAACCAATAACATTTTTTGTTTCTTTTGATGTAATTATTTTGTATAAGCCTTGGGTTTTAAATGTATTGAATTGAATTCACTTTTATTGTACCCAAGCATTATTTTAGAAAGATCTAGCCATTAGGGTATTAACTTATCTGGATAACCTTTTATTTCAGTTCGATCATATGTGACATATGCTATAGATTCAAGATTTAGGATTTATGAATGTATTCATATGTCATCTTTTGTACGGTAAAAGAAGATAAATGAAAGATTATTATTTCGCATGTTACGTTTTTTTTTTTATTATCATGAAATGGGTTGTTGTTGTTATTATTTTGGGACGTTACAACTATCAACTATGGTCAGATGGAAATTACTGATATTGCATCGACACTTTATTTTACCCCCAAACTAGCTCCAAAGTATCAATTGGCCCCTAAATTTATAAACATAAATAAATTTGAATGTTTAATCGTTCAATATTGCTTTAAAAATCTCGAAAGAATATGTTTGTTTCAAAATACGTGCGGTGTAGATTTTTACTAATACGATTTTCAACCTAGAACCACTTGATCAGTCCTATTAAAATTAATCTGGAAGATAAGATAGTTAGAATTGTTGTGAGAGAGAGAGAGAGAGAGTAGATTTAGAATTTGAGGCTCAATTAGTTTTCACCAGTCCAACTCAACGTAATTCGAGAATTAAAAAGACCATTTTAAAAGATATATAGTTTTTAAATAATTTTTTGTAAAGTTCATTATTTAAATTTATTTCTTTTACTCTTTTAGATGAAAATTATTATTAGATATTTAATTTAATTTTCTTATTATATTCATGGGTCTAATTGATATTTTGGGAATAGTTTGAGGGTAAAATGAAGTTTTGATGCTACATGAACAACTTCCGTTTAATTATAGAGGGTAGTTAAAGGAGGGAGTTAAATTGATCAAAAATTAAATAATATAGATGTAAAATTGATATTATTAAAAAAATAGGAGTTGAATTGATTTTTGAGTGATAATTTATTTTTTTTTTTAATTCCTTTTATAGTGAATATAACTTATATTCTTAAATAAATAAATAAATCTTAATAAACATGTTGTTGACCCCTCGCAAGACAAAATTTTAGATTCGTGCCTGAGGACATGTATTGTGTTAGACAAATAACTAATATTGAGTAGCTATGAAAAATGCACCAACCAAAGCACAAATTTGAGAGTAATATATATGTCAATGATATTATATTAAAATGTATAAAATACTGTAACTCGACCTGTCCATATACGTATATATTATATAAAGTCTTGTTAACATGTACCGATGATATTAGAAGATTGTACATTTTTATACATGCGCTTTCCCGCTGAATGCACAATATATTTAAGCTTACATGTTAACAAAATCATATTACATGTAATATAATGTATATATTAAAACAAAGTAGGTAAATCTTTGACGATTGGCTAAGCATGGCATTGTGGCAACACATACTAACTAGAATCACATATGGTGTGCTCAACCATAATTTTATATCTACAATCCTTAGATTTATTGATGTGACAAATTTAGACAATGCCAATCTACATTTTGTCATGTTATAAAATTCAAAATTCTATAATTTGGGTTAAACTTCAATTGCGCCATTTCTTATCCATTTGAAGTAAAATAATAATAATAAAAAATATTACGTTTCTTAGCTCATAATGACAAAGAAAGAAAAAGAGCAACAAAAGGAAAGAAAAAATCTTTGAATTTCATGTATTGAAGTGACACTGGGACTAATACGTAATAAAATGGAAAAATAACTAAGGCATCACAAGGAACTAACACTTACGATTTTTTTAACCAGATGTCATATCACATATTTTTAACCATACAATGTCCCAAAATATAGCCTTGATAGTAAAAATAGACAACATAAAGTCGATCCCCCTTCAAACTCTGTCATCGAAAATTTGTTCACTTCAAACATTGTTGGTATGGCTCATTGTGCCAATTGGTTAATTGTTGCTAGTGCATTACTAATCTGTTTCTTAGCATTAGTGATTTGTCCCCGTATCGAGTCCTTAATTTTTCCATCTAGATCTTTTCTTGACAATCCTTCCTCACAATCGTTTAATTCAGTTAAGGCAGTACTAGTCCAAGTTTGTACATGGCTCTGGTGAGGGAAAAACTTGTCACCTTGGACTTGACCTAAGAACTTAAGTTCTCGTACTGATTGGCTAAGTTTGTCCACACTTTCTTCAACATGACCCAAGCAATCCTTCAAGACTTTGTAATCTGTGGCCTTGAGTCCCTTAAGGTTTTTTAGCATCAACATATTTGCTTTTACAGATCCAGTTGTTGCTAAGCTCGTCGACAACGCAGTGCGGGCCTTAACAATATTTTCCAAGGCTGCAGACTCACCTGTATCGAAAATGTACAAGACATGGAGGATCAAGAGAAGCAATTGAAGGGTAGATTTTGCCATGTTTTAGAATAGGGTGAATTTGTTAAATAAGGATGATGCTCAGAACAAACTGAATTTGTTAAATGAGGAGGATGAGGGTTGAAAAGTCTCTATGGAACCATTTATAAAGCTTGCCTTGGTCTATTTTTGTCCTAACGTGAGTTGCGCATCACTCTTGGTGGATACCATGTCAACCATTTGACCATGTAATATAATGATTTTGGCATTTACTTCATTTAGATATGGCATAGATGGACAAAATAGCATAGGACTCTAGCTATGGTCATATTTTATTTTAAGTTCCTACAAATGATAAATGAGATTATGACTTAATATAAACAATAGGTAAATATCATTTTACTTTTTAAACTATCACTCAAAAATTAATTCAACCCATGTTCTTTTAATAATATCAATTTTATATCTAAACTATTCAATTTTACATCAGTTTTACCCCCACTGTCAATTGTCGACTATAATAAAACAGAAGTTACTGAAGTGGCATTCAAACTTCACTTGAAATTTCAATGTCACGTCAGCAACCTTCGTTTGATTATAAACGGCAACTAATAACAAGTGTAAGATTGATCCAAAATCAAATAGTTTAGATGTAAAATTGATATTATTAAAGAATAGGGGTAGAATTAATTTTTAAATGATAGGGAACAAAATGATATTTCCTCACAATAGCGTGACTTCATAACTGCGTCAACTCATACCAACTAATCATATTTGTTGTGTAAGTGCACGTATAATTTGAAAAACTTCATGAAATTCTTCTCCTTACAACATGTAAGAGTTTTAGGGATCAAACATTTTTATCCCTGAAGTAAAAAATTTGTTGCAAAAAACATTTTAGTACCAATTCTTGTCGTCGCAAGGATAATCGCTAAAATGTCATCTTAAAAAGTAAAAAATAAGGATTTTACCCACAAAATTTTAACAAAAAATTCTCTAATAAAAGCAGTTTGGGGACAAAATAATTGTCCCAAAAGGATTTATTTATTTTTAAACAAAACTTTTGGTCCCGAGAGATAATAATTCATCACTAATGTTCAAATTTTGTCACTAAAAATAAATTGAAAACAAGTTGACATGTTGATTTGTAGGATGGAATTTCATACAAAGGAAATTCAAAGCTTGAGATGCTGTTTTCCATTTCTTCCATGCTTCTAGGCAAATGATCTTTGCCTGTGGGTTATACACTAGTCTTAACAAATAAAATATAGAATAGAGATCATGTCCCATATACATCGTTTAGTCACTACACTGAATATATTCTAGAAAGACATCTAATACAAGATGCATCTAGATAGAACTGTACCGTTTAGCAGTCATGATCAAATTTGCAATGCCTTGGCCAATAAGACCACACCCGAATCCAACTGAGCCATACAATATGCCCTGAATCCCAAATGAATAAATCAATCACAGTTAATGGTAAAAACTAGATGGCAGAAAAAACTACTAAACCCAACTTCAGGCATACTGTAACCATAACTAAAACCCAATCTAGAAAACACTTGAATTAGATAAATCAACAATGAAAACAAGAGATGAAGCAAACATACATCTATTTTTATTTTTTATTTTCTTCTCCCCTATTGCGATATTAAATGACGAAGCAAGAATATTTAACCAGAAAAAGGTCTGAAGCAAGTAAGTGGGATTTTCAAGAGTGGCAGGAAAGAAAGTTTTCTTTTTGAGATCTGTAGTCCAAAAGGCCACAAGGTAGCATACCACTCACTCAATAAGCCCAGTAACTTATGGTACCTTGTAAAAATTGTTAGGGAAAATCGATGTGATTCTCCACAAGTAAATCAATCAATGGGAATAAAAACTAATGCGGAAAAATTAAATCAAAGGCAACACAAGAATTTTACGTGATTCTCTCAATGTGAGGTACGTCCACAGGATCGAAATCCGATTCCACTATCAACTAAATAAGTTTCCAAACGATTACAAACGAGACACGAATGGTCTCACAAACCACCCTTAGGTAAATTCCAGATAATCACAGATAAATAAAGAGGAAAGACCTCACCAAATAGATAAACCAAAATCTTTAGAACCAAAGTTGAAGAAGACCCAAAATAACAATCCAAATCAGCTTCACCAAAACACCCAAACAAACATGCACCGAAAGAAAATTCCAAAACTCATAATGAACTAAGCAAATTAATTGGCACTGTTACCGAGGCTGAAAAGGAATTGCTGCTGCCGTTTTTTTTCCTTATGATCACCCCAAGCAAAAATCATAAACCAATATATATATATATATATTGTTAATCTAGGGTTTTGTAATCAAAACTTAATTGTACCCAAATTGAATTGGATCTCCACAAATATAATATATAAAAATATATTATACCTAAACCAAGTCAAATTGAAACTCTTTAACAAACCAATTGGGTCCCACACTCCAATAAGGAGGTATACCCAACAATTCTCCCCCTACCGACTTAGGTGGAGATTTGGGTGTCATATCAGCAACTTACGTTTGATTATAGACAACAATTGACAATGGGATAAAATTGATGCAAAATTAAATAGTTTAGATATAAAATTGATATTATTAAAAAAATAGGAGTTGAATTGATTTTTGAGTGATAATTTATTTTTTTTTTAATTCCTTTTACAGTGAATATAACTTATATTCTTAAATAAATAAATAAATCTTAATAAACATGTTGTTGACCCCTCGCATGACAAAATTTTAGATTCTTGCCAGAGGACATGTATTGTGCTAGACAAATAACTAATATTGAGTAGCTGTGAAAAATGCACCAACCAAAACACAAAATTGAGAGTAATACATATGTCAATGATATTATATTAAAATGTATAAAATACTGTAACTCGAGCTGTCCATATACGTATATATTATATAAAGTCCTGTTAACATGTACCGATGATATTAGAAGATTGTACATTTTTATACATGCGCTTTCCCGCTGAATGCACAATATATTTAAGCTTACATGTTAACAAAATCATATTACATGTAATATAATGTATATATTAAAACAAAGTAGGTAAATCTTTGACGATTGGCTAAGCATGGCATTGTGGCAACACATACTAACTAGAATCACATATGGTGTGCACAACCATAATTTTATATCTACAATCCTTAGATTTATTGATGTGACAAATTTAGATCTTCTCCGATAATTTTGTATTTCGACAATGCCAATCTACATTTTGTCATGTTATAAAATTCAAAATTCTATAATTTGGGTTAAACTTCAATTGCGCCATTTCTTATCCATTTGAAGTAAAATAATAATAATAAAAAATATTACGTTTCTTAGCTCATAATGACAAAGAAAGAAAAAGAGCAACAAAAGGAAAGAAAAAATCTTTGAATTTCATGTATTGAAGTGACACTGGGACTAATACGTAATAAAATGGAAAAATAACTAAGGCATCACAAGGAACTAACACTTACGATTTTTTTAACCAGATGTCATATCACATATTTTTAACCATACAATGTCCCAAAATATAGCCTTGATAGTAAAAATAGACAACATAAAGTCGATCCCCCTTCAAACTCTGTCATCGAAAATTCTTTCACTTCAAACATTGTTGGTATGGCTCATTGTGCCAATTGGTTAATTGTTGCTAGTGCATTACTAATCTGTTTCTTAGCATTAGTGATTTGACCCCGTATCGAGTACTTAAGTTTTCCATCTAGATCTTTTCCTGACAATCCTTCCTCACAATCGTTTAATTCAGTTAAGGCAGTACTAGTCCAAGTTTGTACATGGCTCTGGTGAGGGAAAAACTTGTCACCTTGGACTTGACCTAAGAACTTAAGTTCTCGTACTGATTGGCTAAGTTTGTCCATACTTTCTTCAACATGACCCAAGCAATCCTTCAAGACTCTGTAATCTGTGGCCTTGAGTCCCTTAAGGTTTTTTAGCATCAACATATTTGCTTTTACAGATCCAGTTGTTGCTAAGCTCGTCGACAACGCAGTGCGGGCCTTAACAATATTTTCCAAGGCTGCAGACTCACCTGTATCGAAAATGTACAAGACATAGAGGATCAAGAGAAGCAATTGAAGGGTAGATTTTGCCATGTTTTAGAATAGGGTGAATTTGTTAAATAAGGATGATGCTTAGAACAAACTGAATTTGTTAAATGAGGAGGATGAGGGTTGAAAAGTCTCTATGGAACCATTTATAAAGCTTGCCTTGGTCTATTTTTGTCCTAACGTGAGTTGCGCATCACTCTTGGTGGATACCATGTCAACCATTTGACCATGTAATATAATGATTTTGGCATTTACTTCATTTAGATATGGCATAGATGGACAAAATAGCATAGGACTCTAGCTATGGTCATATTTTATTTTAAGTTCCTAAAAATGATAAATGAGATTATGCCTTAATATAAACAATAAGTAAATATCATTTTACTTCTTAAACTATCACTCAAAAATTAATTCAACCCATGTTCTTTTAATAATATCAATTTTATATCTAAACTATTCAATTTTACATCAGTTTTACCCCCACCGTCAATTGCCGACTATAATAAAACAGAAGTTACTGATGTGGCATTCAAACTTCACTTGAAATTTCAATGTCACGTCAACAACCTTCATTTGATTATAAACGGCAACTAATAACAAGTGTAAGATTGATTCAAAATCAAATAGTTTAGATGTAAAATTGATATTATTAAAGAATAGAGGTAGAATTAATTTTTAAATGATAGTTTAGGGAACAAAATGATATTTCCTCACAATAACGTGACTTCATAACTGCGTCAACTCATACCAACTAATCATATTTGTTGTGTAAGTGCACGTATAATTTGAAAAACTTCATGAAATTCTTCTCCTTACAACATGTAAGAGTTTTAGGGATCAAACATTTTTATCCCTGAAGTAAAAAATTTGTTGCAAAAAACATTTTAGTACCAATTCTTGTCGTTGCAAGGATAATCGCTAAAATGTCATCTTAAAAAGTAAAAAATAAGGATTTTACCCACAAAATTTTAACAAAAAA